CAGAGACTTGCTCCTCTCATTAAGTTACCCCCACTTGATAATCCAAAGTCTTTACAGCGTATTATTGGAATGTTCTCGTACTATGCAAAATGGATTTGAAAAGAAAGTTTTCAGATAAAATTAGACCTTTAAACTCTGTTACTCAATTTCCACTCAATCAGCAGCAAATACCAGCATTTGAAACATTAAAAAATGAGCTTGTTTAATCTTCCATGCAAACCATTAATAAGAATATACCTTATACTGTGGATACTGATGCTTCTGATTTTGCTATATCCGCCACACTTAATCAGGATGGAAGACCTGTTGCCTTCCATTCACAAACCCTTCAAGGGAAAGAACAATACTATTCATCAGTGGAAAAAGAAGCTCAAGCAATAGTCGAAGCTATAAATCATTGGGGCCATTTTCTTTTGGGGCAACATTTCATTCTCATCACTGACCAACAATCTGTGGCATTTATGTAATATTATATATTAAGCAGTAAAATAAAGAATGATAAAATAATGCAATGGAGAATTGCTTTGTCTCCATATTCTTATGATATCCATTATCGTCCTGGCCTATGTAATAGTGGTCCAGATACAATTACTCGAGTTAGATGTGCAGCAATAAGTTCAGAATCTTTATATGATTTGCATGCTGCACTTTGCCATCGTGGTGTTACTTGCTTTCATCATTTTATTTGATCAAGAAACCTACCTTATATATATTTACCTACCTTATTCAGTAGAAGATGTAAAACAAATATGTAGGGATTGTAGAATATGTAAAGAAATAAAACACAAGTATTACCGCCCAAGCGATGTGCACCTTATTTAAGCAACTCAGCCATTTGAACGTATATCTATTGACTTCAAAGGTCCATTACCTTCTTCAACCCCTGAGCAATATATGCTAAGAATTGTAGACGAATACTCAAGCTTTCCATTTGCTTATCCTGTAAAAGATATGACAACTCAGACAATAATAAACTGTTTTGCTGATCTTTTTTCCATGTTTGGTATGCCTAGCTATGTTCATTCGGATGGTGAATCCTTATTATTGTCTTCTGAATTAAAGCACTGGTTCTAATCAAAAGGGATCGCAACTAACAGAACAACCCCTTACAGTCCAACTGGAAATGAGCAAGTTGAAAAATAGAATGAAATTATTTGGAAGTTGATATTACTCACTCTGAAATCTTAAAATCTCCATATATCATCATGGAAAAGAGTTCTACATGATGCACTTCATGCTACAAGATCTCTATTATGTACTTTTACTAATTGTAGTCCATATGAACGTCTTTTCAATTTTCAAAGAAGATCATCATCTGAGTCCTCAATTTCCTTCATGGCTTGTTAACCCAGGACCTATACTTCAAACTCCTATAGTTCAAACATCAAATAACAATTTAGAAATAACAACTATTGATAAATACCCCTTAACCGCTAATGATAGCTATGAAACTCCTTTAATCTCCGAAAGGGAACTAGAAAACAAAATGAATCTTATAGAGCAAATCAACCTGACTCCTCGTAGATCTTCACGAATTTCTAAAGCACCAGAAAAACTCAACTTATAAATACACCTGAACACTTTTAAGGGGAGGGTGAATGTTATGTTAATAAATTCATCCATATAGGTTTTGTATTACAAATTAATGACTCATTAATTAATTATGTTGACTCAAAAGAGTCACCATAACTAATTTGGTTATTCTTTACAATAAAAAAAAATATACATATATATATATTCATGTATATATATATATATATATATATATATATATATATATATATATATATATATATATATATATATATATATATATATATATATATATATATATATATATATACATCTAGTTTAGCACTTACGGGGACAGATTTTACAAAAAAACTAACACTTACAGGGACATTAGCGTTATCGACGACATTTTAGTGAACTCATTAATTTTTTGTCCCCGTAAGCATGAATTTTTTTACCCTGTAAGCTTATCAGTACATAAGCTTACAGGGACAAAAAAGTGTCACATGCCATGAACTTAATTCAATGATTAAGTGACGATTTTTTTAACAAAATTACAAAAATGATTCTTTGATCTATAATTTTAACCAAAATTTTGTAAATTTTTTTTTTTCAACATCTTGACTTCTAACAAAGCTGCAAGCAACCACTACTAAAGTTGGAAGTTACTGAAAGAGAAAGGATGACGTTTTCAAAGTAAGATAACAAATAACAACAGACTATGAAGATTGCAAATTATATGAACCAGGAAAACAAGATCAAGGATGCAAATTCCAAAGAACTAATCTTCGAGAAAAAAAACTAGACAAATAAGAATTTTTGGAGCACTTTTGAACAGTCATAGTAAAAGCAACATAATGACAATGTGACAATGGTTGAAGGTTGCTGCAAGAGCAGGTCCAATTATTTTTAGATATGGCAACAGAATTCCATGCAAGAACGGATTTGAGATTTATAGAAATAAAGAATAGAACCCTGAGTGAGAAAGTGTCAAGCACGATAAAGAGATGCAACCTTAGCAGATACTAATTTTGCAATTGATTTGATATATGGTTTCCAAGAAAGATCGAAAGTAAAAGTTATTCCTAAAAGATGAAGGGTAGATGACTCATCGAGTACATTACTGTTCATAAATATGGGAAGATCTAGATTATTGCAATAACAATTAGCTAAAAAAAAATTAAGTTTTATCTGAGCTAAAGTTCACCAGACACTGAGAGCCACATGTTCTAGCATAAGTGAGATCCTTTCAGGCTCAAATTCCCCCTCTAAGCAATCAGAGTGTTGGCTTATTATCAAAACAAGAATAAATGGTAGTATCATTGGCAAACAATGCCACCTTAGATGTGAGAATTTCTGGGAGATCATTGATGTAAATTAAAAAGAGTATAGGGTTATAAGGATAGAACCTTGAGGAACTACTGAAGTTAAAGGATATGAAGAAGAGTACTGTCCATTGAGGACAACTTTTATACTACAATTGGTAATGAAAGATTTAATAATCTTAAAGATGTTACATGAAACACCATAAGAAAGCTTATGGAGAAGACCAGCATGCCAAACTTTATAGGAGGTTTTAGAAATGTCAAGAATGATAATCTGAACCTCTTCACATCTATCTAATGCACAATAAACCTATCTGTTATTACCATTAACAAATCATACATTAACGAATGAGAAGACTGAAGTCCATATTAATGATCAGAAAGTTTGCTATTAGATTCAAGATGAGAGATTAAGTGTTTGTTAATTAAAGATTTAAAAACCATGCTTAAGATAGTAAGAAGACTAATGAGACGGTACTTGACAAATCAGATCACTATACAGATTTTTTGAAAATAGGGATTAGAAAATAGACAAGAGTCTGATAAGCACTTGTTAAATAGTTTTGAAAGTATAGATAAAACATTTATAGAAAACTCCTGCAAGACTATAACAGGTATGCTGTCAGGACTACAAGCTGTAAAAGAGTCTAAACAGAAAATTATTTTAGATGCAGAAGCTGGAGTGATACGAACATCAAGCAATGAATAAACCTGTTTGTCAGCTATATCCGGTAGAACACTACTAGTGGAATTAAGAGATGATATTGATGAGAAGTTCTTAGCAAATAATTCAGCTCTTAGCAAATAATTCAGCTCTTAGCAAATAATTCACCTTACCTTTTTAGGGGAGATGACAAAATCTAAACCATACAAGAGAGGTAGAATAACAGATTTGCCCTTATTATAGATACTGTTAAAGTCACGAGAGCCTAATTTTTGAGTTGAAATAAAAGATTTTGTGACCTGAGAATAGCGGGTTTTGATAAATGGTTCCTAGCAATAGTAAATAGACGTCTGTTTTATGAAAAATTGTTTTGCTGATAGATATGAAAGTAATGGTTACAATTAGAAACTGCGGCAGCACAATGAGAGGAAAACCAAGAAGAAGAGTGAGACTTGACTTGGAATATTTGAGAGGGAATAAAAGATTCCGTGAAAGCCTGAATCAAAGTTATGTAAGAAGTAAAATTTGTCAGAAGGAAGACGAAATATTTCTACCCGAGACCCTATCACGAAAAAAATCACAAAAAGAGTTTTAATCAGCTTTAAGGTAGTTGTAAGAGGTACGATGATAATGAAGAAGAATGAGACAATAGTTTTAGAGAGATCAAACCATGACAGAAGTACCTAAGGGTGAAGATGGAGAAACTGAGCACTGACTAGGATCAGAAACAAGACATAAGTTGAGTAGAGGAGGTAAATGATTCGTGTTGTCTGAAAAATGAGTTGGAAAGTTGACTATTTGTGTTAAAGATTGAGAAAGACAAAAGTTGTGGGCATTAACACCTGTAAAGTCACTGACACTAGAGCCGAGCCATTTAGTGTGATGAGCTTTGAAGTCATCAACAACAATGGTCGCTGAAGGATAGAGATTGCTTGGTCAATATGATCCAACAATAAGACCACAGGATGAGACAGCATTTGTGAAAGATATAAAGCGCAGCATGCAAAAAAAAAGTCATCTAACTCCAGCCTTTTCCTCATAAATTTAATCTTTAAATGATAAAAATTAACATTTGTTTTAATTTAATAATTAATTAATTTAATAATAAATAATCAATGCAATAATAAAAATCTCCTTAACTACAGCTATGCAAAATACAATACATAAAATAACCTGTATTGTTTTGAATGCTATAGCTATTTTTCTACATTCAATACATTAAATGTTATACTAATCAAATTTGATTACTTTTCAACATGCTTTTTTTATTGTAGTTAATATAAAACTTTTTTTATAGAGTTGATATAATTTGCTTAACCTTACAAAACAAAAGATAAAAATAAAACAATAAAAAACTTGTCTTCGTATTTATTTAGTAGCTCCCAAACCCAAAACCTCAGTCTATGTATATACTGAAACCCTCACAGATGGCTATTTAGTATGACATCAACAACATTTCCTGCAAATTATGCAATTATATCATAGTAATACAATATTACCTCAATCTTTCATCAATGTCTGATTGATCATTTATACAAGCACCAATTAAAGCAGGAGTCATAACCATTTTAATAACAAAGCATAAACGTTCATATGAAAATCCAGGTAGTTGTTTTTCTTCAGTAACAGATTTTGTACCCAAATCTATTGTAACATTTTCAACAAGTATGTCTTTCTTTTTAGCTTTAGTGTCTTTTCTCTCAACTGATTTATAAGTTACAGGTGCCATTGCAGGACGATTATCAAAAATTAATTGCAAATTTGCAATTTCCTTTGTAAAATTTTACTATAGTAATTAATACATTTAAAAAAAGGAAACAATTTGAGTTAAATAAATAACAGAAAACCTTCACAACTCCATGAATGCAACAACTGACAACAGCCTCCAGACTTTTATAACCAGCAGGACTTAATGCAGATTGGTAGGTAATCAAAACAAATAAATAATAGACATAATATTGGTAATTTTAAATTTTCATACATATGAATTTATTAAAAACAATTACCTCTGATATTGTAGGGGAACATGATTTGGAACCAAAGTAATCACTCTGAAGAAAACATAAAATAAGGCCTGATTTTTTTTTGTTTAAAATTATTATCACGAAGAAAAACAGATACCAGTAAGTAAATAAAAAATATACACAATTTAGTTTAATTGAGCAATACCATGTACCCATACAAATCTTTTGGTTGTTGAAGGAATAAAATGTTGAGCAAGTTTTCTATTTCTTGTGGAACTTTATTCTCCTCATAATATTTTACAGCAAGTCTTTTTAATTCTAGTTTATTCATCTTCTTCAAAATGAAAATAGGTTTACTGCTATGATAATGATAATAATCATTATCATCCATCATGATCATTATCATCTGTCATGATAGTAGTCATCATCATCACAACTATCATTAAGAGTTTATACATGCAATTGTAAATTTATATGTAATTATCATCAATTATACCATTATACAAGAGTTTATACATAATTGTAAATTTATATGTAATTGTAAACATTCAAAGAAAGGTACCTGGTTACTTTAAGATGATAAGAATGTAGAGTGATTTAGCACACAAGCACTTTAAATTTAAAAAGATGGGCTTCATCAAATCTTTCTTTATATTCATCCTGAATATAAAGAAAGATTTGATGGAGAAATAAGACAAATCATTGTTCTATATTTTAAATTTAAACAAAGGTGCTTTTGAGATACTTACAATTACAATTAATATGATTTTCCATAAACGAAAAGAATAATTTTCTGTAATGCCTAATTTAGCAATTTTTTGTTTAATTATACAATTTCTAATGTCCAATTTAAAAAATTCATCACGTTTAACATAACATGTGCTGTTTAAACACATTTTCCCACCACATTTTTGTGTTTCCACCTACCTAGTATTCTGAACATTCAGAAAGAACAGTAGGTAAGAACATGTTTGAACCTGTTAAACAGAAATTTTAATTTAAAAAAGTTAAAGATTCTAGAACTTCAAATTAAAAGAACTGTTATTTATTTATTGTTATTACTTTTCTAACTTAACTTTAAACATAACATTATCCACTCTACCCGCACACATAATATACTATATTGAAATTACATGGATGTGATTTTATCGCAATTAATAACTTGTATTATTGTAATTAAAACAATAACAACTTATAAAATAAAAAATAAAAAGTTTGTTAACATATAAAATGAATAAAGCTTGTCAGTATACAAATTGGAAAAAGATAAAAAAACTTGTTAGTATACAAATTGGAAAAAGATAAAAAAACTTGTTAACAAAATAGTTATTTTATTTATAGTTTGTTTAAATAAATAAAAAAATTATGAATCTTGGGTACGATAATAAAGCTTTATTTGTCAAAAAAACAATGTTTCAAATCAATGTTAATTCAAACCAATGTTAATTTTTAAAAATAAATGATTGTAAAAGAAAAATCCACACAATTTTTTTTCAATTATTATTCTACATATAGTATAAATACATCATAAATAAAATTATATTAGTATTTTAATTACATATTTTCAAAATTAAATTTTTAATCATGTGACTTATTCATTAACTTTGAATAGTTAACAAACACATCATATAAAGTGATACAATATATATATATATATATATATATATATATATATATATATATATATATATATATATATATATATATATATATATATATATATATATATATATATGCACACATGTTAGTAATAATTTTACCTCAGAAAATAAAAAATTAAAAAACAAACATTTTAACAAATTAAAGTAACTCTAATAATTAGTTATTTACAAACTAAATCAATAATATATGTACATAAGTTTTGCATTTTCTATTTTATATAACAAACATATACATGTATAAAATGAGACAAATTAATTATCCAATTGTTTAAGAAGTTTATGAAACTGTTTAAATTTAATAAAAAACCAGAAAGAGTTTTAAAAAGTTTTTCAGGAAAAAATAAAAAAAAAAATTAAAATCCGTTTGTTAATTAATAACATCAATCTTGAGTTGTAAAAGAATTGTAAAAAATTATAAAAAACTAAAAAGATTAGTCAGGTAAAAGGTCATCACAAATTTCTTCATCTGCAAATTCATCTATGTCTTTTGGTTTAGAACTAGCAGCAGCTGTTTTTGGTCTAACAGGAGTATCACCCATAGGATCAGCATATGAAGAATCTTAAAAAAAGTAAAACAAATTATGTACATATATATATATATATATATATATATATATATATATATATATATATATATATATATATATATATATATATATATATATATATATATATATATATATATATATTTACTATTGGTAGTCCTGCTACTTTTTCATATATATTATAAAATAACTACTTTTAATATTAGGGATTTTCTTAGTATATAAATTCAAAAGGAAAATTATAAAAAAAATATTTTAATAAAGACTCTGTTTCATTGATTATATGTTTTCACTGATTGTATGTTTAACTATATGCCTTACCCACATTCTTAGGTCCTTTTTTTTCTTTTCCACTTGAAACACGGTCTGGAGTAACAAGAATGTTTTCTTCTGAGACTAAAATTAAAATATCAATTATATATATATATATATATATATATATATATATATATATATATATATATATATTTATATATATATATATATATATATATATATATATTTATATATATATATATATATATATATATATATATATATATATATATATATATATATATATATATATATATATATATATATATATATATATACGTGGGTGCATATATGTAAATATTAAAGATATATATATACATCTTTAATATTTACATATATATATATATATATATATATATATATATATATATATATATATATATATATATATATATATATATATATATATATATATATATATATATATATATATATATATATATATATATATACAGTGAGAACAGAATTTAATCAGACAAAGTAATTTTTGCATATTATTTTGCAAAAACTCGTTTATATAATTTTATATAAATTTGTTAAAAATGAAAATACTGACAACAAAGTTTTTTGAATTTATTATGGTTACCCCTTATTTACAATTTTTCAGTAAAAATATTAAAAAATATGTTTATTATTATTATTTTTTTTTTCTTAGACAGGTATTTATTTTAATGCACATAAATAATTTGTACAAAACTGTATGATAATTGATAATTTGTTATGAAAATGAATGCTTTTGATTCTTTTTTAATTTATTAAATATCTATTTTATTATTGAATTTATATTTCTAGGATACTATTTTTTTAGCAGCTAATAATCATATAAAGATAAAAAAATTACATAAAGAAGAATTTTGCAAAAAGTTATTATTTAAGGACAAAAAAAGTTATATGGTTAAGAAAAAAGTTACATGGTCAGATGAACCCAAGTTTAGCTGATGGTACACAAAGAGTTTGACGAATAGAGGGGTGAAGCCTTTTAATTGAGTAGCACAAGAGGAACAGTTAAGCATAGTGGTGGAAATGTAATGTCATGGGGTTGTATGGCATGGAATAGCCTTGGAAATTTTTAAATTTATTGATAATGCTATTTTGTATAACATTATAATGAACCAAATTTAAAAATCTTCTACTCAAAAATTTAGATTAGAAAGCCATTTTGTATTTTAAAAAGACAATCAAAAGAAACACACTGCTAAAAAAACTAAAGGCTTCTTTAATAAAAATGACATTTAAGTTTTAGAATGGTCTTCACAAAGATCTGATTTGAATACAATAGAGTATTTATGGACTTAATAAGATAAAAAAAAATAGGAAAGAGATTTACAAAAAACTTTTTTTAAGAAAGCTGTTGTTAAATCTTTGTCTAACATCGACATTTATCAAATCAACCAGAATACCAAAACAACCAGAATACCAAATCAACCAGAATACCAAATCAACCAGAATACCAAATCAACCAGAATACCAAAACATTTTTAGATAACTCACCCTTTTAACTTTTTAACAGAGAGAACCTTTTTGGCATCCTTTTTTTCATTCAATATAAAGAATTTATTTAATAACTGTCTGATTTATTTAATATAAAGAATTTATTTAATATAAATTCTTTATATTAAATAAATCTTATTGGTAATTTTTTTTTTTTAATATTTCCTTCTAAACGAGCTCCCAAATATTTCTACAGGATTAAGGTCAGGAGATTTTTCAGGTCAACCTAGTAATGGCACATTCTGTTCTAGTAAATACTCTTTGTATAAAGATTTCCTTTTACCTGAATCAAACCATTCTGGCAATTTTTACAATAATTTTTTTTCACGGATTTTTTTATATTGCAACTGGTTCATTATTCTATCTTTCCTCCGATTATCTATTTACATAATGAGCCTTCATTTCAGTTTGGACTGGGTGTCATGATTGTACCCATGATCATGCAGGCAAAATCAAACCATTCTCTTTTATATTTTTTCATTAGATTGTTCCAACTTTTCAGTTAGGGGTTCTCCATAAAGTACATACGCTCATAAAGAGAAGAGGGGAGGGCTCATGTTAATAAAAAAATGTTATTTGAATAAATAACTTTTTTTGTTTTTTAAATAAAACCATGTCTCATTGTTTTCCATAATTTGCCAACTAACCAATAAAAAAAGTTAATTTTCTAACCAGTTTGCCAACATAAAAGGGTGGATACATAGGGGAGGCGGTATAGTGTCCTGTATGCAAATACCATTTACCGAAAAAGACAGACATATTTAGTGCACACCCTTTTGAGTCTGCAAAAAATTAGATTTTAGGGTATTGTTTTCAATATTACTCAATTCATGTTTTTAAACAAACTTATTTCCTGCAACTTTGTTGTATGATGCTTTTCTTAATTTTGGTATTGTATTTAAGCATAAAAATGACATACACAAAGGTTTTTTGAAGAATAATCCACAATTGAATAAGCCCAAAAATCATTATTTTTCCTTGTTACATTCTAATACCATTGTGGGGCTTAGAAAAGTAAATAACCTGGTTTTTGTTTTTTTCTACTAAACACAACCATATAGAGTACAATATGATAAGAAAAGGTTGTAATAAAGTATAATAGTGTCAAATGAAATAACTTGTTTTCCAGGACTAGAAACTATGATTTCTCTTTTTGTACTCATTTGTGCAGATGTGCACACTTTTTTTGCTCTTGACACATTTAAAGCTTTTGACAAAGTTTGGCATGCTGGTCTTCTCCATAAGCTTGTTTCATATGGTGTAACTGGAAAAGTTTTTGAGATTATCAAATTGTTTCTTTCTAATGGCTTTATTAAAGTCATCCTAAAAAGCCAACACACTTCATCATTTCCAGTAACTTCTGGGGTATCTCAAGCTTCTATCCTTGGGCCTGTTTTGTTTCTTATCTACATTAACGATCTTCCTGACAACATTACATCTAAAGTAACTCATTTTGCTAATGACTCAACTTTAAACTTCTGTCTTGACAAAAAGATTTCTCTTTTCGGTCTCTTAGAACAGGCAGCCTATCTTGAACCTGATCTTACTTCTGTAACAGAATGGGGCTCGCAGTGACTTGTAATATTTAACTGCAACAAAACTTATTTATTTACTGAAAACAGCTATCGCAATACTGTCGACATTCCTATATTAATGAATGGCAACCCTCTCACTGAGTCCTCTTCTTTATGTCTTCTTGGATTATCGTTTACTACTGACCTTTTATGGAAACCATATATACAATCAATTTCTAAACTAGCATCCATTAAGGTTGCTTCTTTTTATCGTGATTGCCATTTTCTTACTCCTGATTCCATTCTCTACATCTACAAATCTCTTATTCACCCTTGTATGGAATACTCTTGTTATATTTGGGCTGGTTTTTCTAGATGAAGGGTCCAAAATTGTATGGTAAACATAGTTGCTAAGCTTGAGCCTCTTTCACAATGTTGTAAAGTTTCTCTTTTCTACAAATATTACCACAAACATTTCTCAAAGGAGCTATCATCTCTAGTTCCAACAACTAAAACTCATTCTCGTTTGACTCGTCATTCAGCAAAGTCTCATTCGTTTACTGAATGAGAATTTGCCTGAATGCTCTAAAAACTTTTATTCGTCTAGTTTTTTTCCCGCACATCAACTCTTTCGAACGCTCTCCCATTTTCATCTTTTCCTGACTCATCCAACCTTCAACTTTTCAAGTCCTCTGTCAACTGTTTTCTTGCTTTGTAACTCTATTCTTTTTTTCTAGTAACTCCTAACTTAATAGTGGTTGCTTACAGTCTTGTTGGGAGTGAATCAGAATAAAAAATAAGAAAATAAAAAAATGGCATTTGCTGATTTGGAATTCATTGTCTACGAGATTCTACTACTTAAAATACATCTTGAAAGTACTTCTAATCCCAAGATACACCTAGAAAGTTATGGCACACCTTCACACCACACACAGCTGCCTCAATTACCACATGAAGTTTGTTGACAATCAGTTTCATGTTTTGATAGTCTTTCCAATTAATCCGGTCATATGTTGGAATCTGGAATGCTAAAAAACATGAATAAAATGCTAAAAAACATGAATAAATCCAGCCCAATTAGGTCAACTAGAGAAGTATCATATTCTATTATAGGAGGAAGATAGGACTTGTCATATTCCTTAAAGTTGAGTCCAACTTTATTTGTGACAGGTTTTTTCAAAAATAAGAATGGATTTCCTTATTTCGTCAAAGTTTCCTTCTGCTATCATAAATGAGAATAAACTTCTTAGATAAGTACTAAATGTGTCAACTGAATGCCATGCAAGCATTTTAACTAAAGTTGATCATCAGCAGGTTTTGCTATGCTTTCCACTAAAATCAAGTCATTTACTGGTGCGCTAACTGATACAGGACAAACAAGCCACTACTGCACATAAACTGAAAATGTGAACACAACAAATCATTTCAATTTTCTTATTTGGTCGCTAGTAAAAATTTCCGTTTTTGGAAAATGTTCTTTGATCTCTCCAGACAGTAGCACAATCTTCAGAGTATAAAGCAGTTTACTCATCCACCTTGTTTTGTAAAGGACACCAGAATGGAGCATCTTAAAGTTCTTTGGTTCAGATACCTTTGCTATTATGAGCAGACAAAACTGAACTAGCTCTTTGTAGTCACCTTGTGTAAATGATTGTGTATAAGACTCATGAAATAATTTAGTAATTTTTTGCTGCCATTCTTCTTCTTTAGGCATCATATGAGGGTAATAAAACTGCTTAGTCATCTGATGACAGTTAAGGGGAATGTTTCTTGAACCTTTAGAAAAGTGAAAAAGATATAGTAAATAAATGTTAATTGTTGTAAGTTAAAACTATAAATAGTATATTCACTATATCCTAATTGTAAAAATAAGCTTTTTACTATTTTTTTGTATAATATATTTATTGTAGGTAAAGCAAAAGGTATAGATTATTGAACTCACCTTTGAAAGATCAAAATATTTAGACAAGCTGATGTCTCCACTTTTAAACCTTCCCAGCAATCATTCAAAAGTAATTCACTGACATGCCTATGTCAAACAAACCAATACTTTGAAAACAAACCAATATTTTGAAAATGTATGTCATTACAGTGTAGTTGTATGATCTTTATTCGGATGAAGATCATACAACTACAAACACAGCTAATCATACACAATTACAGCTAATCATACACAATTACAGCTAATCATACACAATTACAGCTAATCATACACAATTACAGCTAATCATACACAATTACAGCTAATCATACATAATTACAGCTAATCATACATAATTACAGCTAATCATACACAATTACAGCTAAGTTTGTATGAAGATCATACAAGCTTAGCTGTATTTGATGTATCCAAAATCATGCCAATAACAATTTTTTTACACATTCTCTAAGACGTTTTTTAATTGCCTTTGCTATGATGTCTCTTAGAACTTTACTTATTTCTTTAGTTGATTTTGGATGTGGAGGAACGCCAAAGAGCTTTGTCCCATCAGCTCCAGACACAAGAACTAGCAACCTATCATTCGTTCCTTTGAAATCAAGAGTGTCCAGAAGTTCTCTATCTCAATGCACCAGCATATTTGGCAATGACATTCAATTTTCTTTAATTTTTTAAACTTATTTTTGGTACAATTGCAGTTCTATACCAGTCAGCTATCCTTGCATTTAGGCACAGCTTGTAAGGGTCACACCTGCATGCTGCTACATAAGAGTACACAATGGCACTATATCGGGTTGATGAGATATGTTGTTACAGATACTGCATAAAACAAGGTCAATTCTGATTTAATTTTAATTAATCTAGTTTCATCTTCTTGTCTTCTATAATTTTTCAATTTCATCAAAGTAATGAATTTCTTTTCATAGTAATCTTTGATTACTCTACCAATATTGTTTCTGCCTACTAGAGCTGGGATATTAGCTTTCTGATAGTGTAAGAGCACATTGTCTATAGCTTCAGATAAAGCTTGATCCCGTACAAATTTTTCAGGTTTGATAAAAGGCATAACAAGACCTATATTTGTGTCAGCAGTTTAGAACCCTTTATTTTCTTATCATTTCTTCAGAAATGATGCCAAGTAACATATAACTGTTGTGTAATATAATTGTTGTGTAACTTTTTATCCATGATTAAACACTACAAAATACAATAACAATATTAATATATATATATATATATATATATATATATATATATATATATATATATATATATATATATATATATATATATATAGTATATATATATATATATATATATATATATATGTATATATATATATATATATATATATATATATATATATATATATATATATACACTATATATATATTTCTTAAAAAATATTAATATATTTCTGAAAAATGTTGTTACAATTCAAGCTCATTTATAAATAGTAATAAACTAACCTTATTATTTTATAAAAAATTGAAGACATTTTTTTTTCTTTCCTTAATTAAAGTATTTTAACAAAAAGTCCACATAATCCATACAACTTTATTATACATAAACTTTATAAATAAAAATCCACATAATCCACATAACAAATAACACATAAACTAGTAAACTTTAAAGAAGTTCTGGTGCAACAAAGAAAAAATTAAAAAAAATAAAAATTTATATTAGCAATAAAATGGTTTGACACACTATCCCAAGATATTGGATAAAAATATTTAAAAAAAACTAAAGCAAGATCTGAATTAACATAAAAATTGCATAATCTTCGTGTAATTTCACAGAGATGCTTTTTAGATCAATATGCAATACTAAAATTATGAAAAGCCTTCTATGATAATAACTTAATATTTTGGGGGCAAATGTTGGGAGCACTCTAATGCTCCAATTTTAAAAAAATTCTCAATTTACTTTTTTAATTCATAAAGTCGAGAGGAGAGGTATTTTAAAACATCTTTTTTAGAGAAAGGAAGGGGAAGATTAAATAGTACACTTGTCAAAAGGGAGTAGGGGAGGAGGTCAAATTTTTAAGTTTTTAACATAAGTACTTTAGTACGTTGGTCAAATATTTTTGATATGATTAGTATTCCGTCACCATAAGGTATTAAGTTTCTTTTCTTCCACATTTACCACATTTTGGGGTTGTCCATAAACATGTCATGCTCTATGGGGTGAGGGGTTAGTGGTTTTGGGACAACTTGTACATGACTTGTTACTAAAGAGTTATAATGTTGTGACAATGAGGGTGGGGGGATGAGGGTCGTAAAAAAACTATGCAACATAATTTATTGTTGACGCCTTTGGAATAAAACTTTTCATAGTCATTATTTTTAACTAGTCCTTATTTTCAGAACATTTTGTACAGAAACCTGTAAAATATCTTCAGGCAATTTTTCTTTGAGAAAATTTGTATTAGAAGTACGCTGATTTCAGCAAACTTTTGTGGTGAAAAAAAATTTTTTTTTTAAACCTTTTTTTTTTGTCAGTATCACAGTTAAGAATATGCTTAAATAACTTAAAATATATCACCTAAAAGAAAAACATATTTTTGCTGACTCTGTTAAACTCAACACATTCACAAGAAAAAAAAGATGACATCCTAAACCGGGAAATGATCTTTATCAGGAAATGATATTAAAATAACAAGTCTTGAACTTTTTTTTTACCTTTTTGAACTTTTCCACTTCCCTTACGCTTTCCACTATTAACTCTCTAAACATTAAAAAGAACATCAAGTAACACTATTCATCAAGTAAATATATCTAGTAAATATTATGCATTAAAGTTGTAAACAAGCATTAAAAATAAAACACTTGCATTTAAATAACAGGTAAATACCCTGTATAAAATTGATAAACATGAATCAATAAAAACTATATATAATTAGTATAAAACTAATATATTTAACTTAATACTAATAATATTTAACAATATTATTAGTATTAAGTTAAACATTTACATTTGTAATGTTTATAAGTATTTTAGATTTTAAAATGGTCACATTTGATTTTTGCTAATAAAAACAGTGATATTATACTGATGCTAATGTTGTATCATGTAAAATTGTTTATTTAAAACATTGTTAGTAATTTAACTTTTAAATTAGCAATTTAACTAATTAAAAATTTTTAAAATAATACTAAAATGATTATAAAAAAAGAATCCATTCTCATTTTAATCCCATTGTTTCACCTTTTTGTTTTTACCCTACATTTTTACTACTTTTAATATCAAATAAATTAAAAAAATTCATTTAATATTTACAAAATAAACTAATTAAAATTATGTAATACTTTGTTAAACTATGAAATAACTTTTTATCATAATTAACACACCTGCTCTTTTTGTTCCAACATCTTCTGAATTTTTATTAGCTTTTGAGAATATTCATTTTGCTCTTGGCTTAATCCCTGGTCTTGGCAAAGCTTTACTAGGAATCTGATACCTTCCAAATTAAAAATATTCATTTATAAAATTTCAAAATATTAAAAAAAAGTTAAGGGCAAAAACTAAACTTAAAAATTAAAAAATCATTAAAAAAAAATTGTTTAAATAAAATTTCTTACAATCAAGGTTTTCAGGAAACTTTTTATGGATTTCTTTGTATGTTTCCATAGCTTGAGTATAATTTCCTGAAATTTTTAAAAACGTTTATAAAATAAATAAAATAAAAAAATTAGAAGAAAAAAAAATAAAAATAAATTATTAAATATTTCAATAAGTGATTCAATAATCACATCACAAGTAAAAAAAATTACAGAGTGAATTTAAATCATGCTGTCTCATAATAATAAAAATCTAAAAACAAAAAAACAAAGAAAGAAAAAAAAAAAAAAAACACTAACACTGCATTCAATAAATAATTAATCATTGTTTTGTTTAGGGATTCAACATTAATACAATTGAGTTCTCAAAAAAGTGCAAAATAAAGAATACAATATAAAAAAAGATAATATATAAAGAAGATAATATATAAAGTAACCTAATTAAATAAAGTATTTGCCATGGAAAATGATAAAAGAATGTACCACTCATAAACTGGGTCTAATTAACTTGTGCCAAAAAGAAAACAATCTTTTTTTAAAAAAAATGATAAATAAAAACCAATATTAAAAAAAATAAAATTAAGTAAGGATTGTAAAAAATGATTATGGAGATTAAACTTTAAGTATGAGTGATACTAATATAGTGAATAAACATTTTATAACAAATGATTCAAAAGGGTGGCAGTCACCATGTCCTAAAATCAAATTAAATAACCAATTCAGAAAAGAGTCAAATGGTATGCAAAATTGAAAATAAAATTAAAATTACTTTAATATATATATATATATATATGTGTGTGCGTATATATATATATATATATATATATATATATATATATATATATATATATATATATATATATATATATATATATATATAATTATATTATAATAGTTTTAAGAAAGGTATAAAATAATAATGTAAATATGTATGTATGTATGTATGTATGTATGTATGTATGTATGTATGTATGTATGTATGATTGTATGCATGTATAGTTCAATAAAAATTAAAATGTCGCTTATGACTAAATAATATTTTCATTTTTTATAAAATACAGTAATGGCTGCTATTAATATTCATTACTATGTTTTTAAAAATTAGCAATGTTGAAAATTTAATAGCTATTAATGATATTGTGAACTTTTATTATTAATAAAATTGTGATTTTATAGAGATAGGCACAATAATGGAATAATAATGGAGAATAATACTTATATAATAGTTTTTATAAATTTAACCCAAAATTTTTTAATTTTAATCAAGAATCTAAAAAGGATTGATAAAAATATTTCAACACATTTTTGATTTAATAAATTTCTTTATATTAATGATTTTTTTATAATTCAATTTTTATGTTTGCAGTTTCATTTCATTTCTTGTTAAAAAGACATAATGTAACATATGTTATGTGAATCTTTATTGATCAATGTTAATTATTTTTACTCCATATTAATGCAAGTTTTTTATATTCAACCAGAAACTTTTCCTAAGTTAAAAATAACTCAATATGTTTAACTGAATTCATTCCAACACCAAATAATATTTTTTTCCTTCAATTTATTATGTCTAGTATCTCAAATTTTTATTATTTTACATTCTTATGACTTTTATAAATTTTTTTTTTTGACCCATTACTTTTTAAGTTTTTGTCTTAAAAACATTAATTATAGATGCTTTAGTTCAATTTTTATTCTACTACTCCATATTAATGTTTTTTTCAGTCAGAAACTTATAATAGTGACAACAAGTGAAAAACATTAATGTAGTACATAAAATTATTTTTTCTATAAGAAAGAATCCCCTAAGCTGAAATAAACTAGACTTATACACACTTACACACACATCACACACACTAAAGTTTCCACACACATCACACACACAAAAATACATAAATATAAGTAAAGTCGAGTAAACTCATTTTTTCAATCATATATATTTATTTTTTAATATTTTACAACTGTCTCTCGATTCCTACTCTGAAACATGAACCTTGACAAACATAGTTGCTGCACATTGAATGCAGTATTATCTGTGATGTTACAGAGAATGGATATGATAATTCATCATTTAAAATTTAATATACTCATGTAATATAATGTATAAATCTTTACTGATGCCTGCCCTAACCAAAACCCTCAGTCTCAATCAGGTACATTTTATTGTGTCTATCCCTAAACTTTATTAGATAATTTTTTTTTTTTTTTTTTAAATAAGTCATTTTTTAATTAGCTTTTTTATAAATTGCAAGCTTTTTAATAACAATATGATGACCATCTTCCAATCAATGTGATTAACAATGTGATGACCATCTTCCAACTTTCAAATGTTTAAAAAAATAAATGAAATATAAGATTATAACCACAGTCACACTTTAGTAGATTAAATATATAATTAAATTCATTAAAAATTTCTTCAAAAAACAGATCCTAAGTAAAACAATGCAATATATAGTGAATTAAAAGTGCTTTATGTTTTGTTTAGTAAAGAAGTGTTTTTAGCTATTTACCATTGATTGGTTAAATACAGTAGAATTTAGTTATTTACCATTGATTAGTTAAACACATTTAGTACAACAGTGATTTGAAAGAGAAGGATTTTTAATACCAAAATTTTTTTTAAAAATATATTAAAAGCAATAACTAATTTAAGAAATATTTGGTTTGTTATAAATATAACACAAATAATTATACTGAATATGTATTTAAAGTCAGAGTTATGAAGAATTTTTAATATTATATTTACAATCTTGCGAATTGTATGCAAAGTATTTAATTATATGCATGCATTATAATAAGTGATCATTTGCTTTTCTCAGTTTCTGAATATTTTTTTTGCTTGCATAAAATGTTTAATTTATAGGACATTTAAAATTACTAACCCTGCATCTCATTACAACCCAGCATATCATTACAACCCAGCATCTCATCACATCCCTGCATCTCATCACAACTCTGCATCTTATCACAACCCTGCATCTCATCACAAACCAGCATCTTGTAGTTTCATTTTTATATTTCTGATCTTTTTAAATTTTTAAGCAAAATTTTTAAGATAATGTGATATGAAAATGATTATAATATAAATATAGAGTAAAACAAATTTATTGTCACAATTTATTTTTAACAATTTATTTTGAATATCTCATTTGTATCATTATTTTATTTGATAACTTAATTTATAACAAAACAATTTTTTTAGAATTAAAATTTTAAGAAAACATTTGTTTCCTTTAATTTTAATAAAACTCTGAGGCCCAAGCACTAAAGTTTCTGCTTTAGAGCGGTCTAACTAGGGTGGGCCAATTTTCCTTTTTTTTTTAAATTGTAAAACCTGGATATCAAAATAAATGTAATTAAATAAGGATTTTTAAAAAAATATATATTTTTTTTTAAAAATGAAGATTTTAGATTTTATTAAAGGTAAACAACCAGGAGTATTTTTTAAGGAGATGAGTTTCCTGAAAAAAAATCTAAAAGTTTAATTTTTTTTAAATGAATATTATTTTTAAAATCCTATTTAATTGCACTTCTTTTGAAACCCAGGTTTACCTGATTAGAAAAAAGAAATTTTTGGTAATATTAGTGGGCAACTTTACCAAAGCAAAATTACCAAGCTTAAATTTTTTATTTTTTCAAATTATTTTTTCTAAGTTTTAAATACTGTTTTCATTAATAAAAAAAACTGCTCTATTTACAACTAAAAATAAAAAGAAAAAAAATTAACACACCCTACTGTCTAACTTTACTCTTGGGTAAAATGACACTGATACAATTATACAATACTTTTGTATTATATATACTAACATTTTTTTTTAGAGTTTATTCATCGCAATGGAAAACCATGTAAGGAATCTTGTCTATTTTTAATTGGGCAACTTTGTATTTTATTTTATTTGTACTTTATAATTAAAATTTATTAAACAGTCATGATTCATTGTGTCATAAAGTAAATTACAAGTGTCACTATAAAAATTTTATAAAATCTAGTCAACAAAACGTGTTTAAAAATAATATTCAAACTTGCAATTTTTTTATTTTT